CACTAGCTAAAGCCGCCATGGACAAGCGATTTGTCAGCTTTTTGAAATGAAAAGATTCTTTTTGTTTATTGGAAATTTAGCTGCATGTATTGTAGAGAACGTTTCGACACAGACTGAAGAGCAGCCGCTCTGCAAAACTTATATCCGGCGGAGTGAATTGTTCCGGACAAATCATTTTTTGACGTGTTGACAAGGTTTCAGACAAGATAAAGCCACACAATAAAAAACAAGAAATTCCGCAGCAATCGCTCATAGTTTTAACTTTCTTTTATATGCAATCGCCTGCAACGTGTTCTATTAGGGAACAAAGTAATTTTACAAATCTGGTAATCCAGGGGTAATCTGTTCGTTATGTTTCTATTTTGACGAGCTGTCAATTTACAAATGAACCGAACCGTGAAATATCAAGGGACGTTTTCCAGAATCGTGGGGTTTGCGGGCAAGCGTTTCCTCTTCTCCCCTCCCCCTCCCCCTCCCCCTTCAACCATTTTTTTGCTTCCGCTCTAACTTTCGTGTAATAACTCGATTGGAAACGCTTGCTACGCAGGCTACAGAGGTGCAGGTTGAAAAATACACTCAGTGTTTTATTAAACGTCAGTGAAGACTGTTTGAAAGAATACCGGGAATTCTTGGGCACTAACTTTCTTGAAGAAAAACTACATTTTGCTTTCAGTCGCCATGAATAGAGGGGATCGACTACTTATGTAAATTTTTGTCAAATTCGAAATATGATTAATAGCATATTCCCATGACCAAAGATTAAAAGCTGACACAGGAGATCCGTTATGGCTCTTGGCTGAAATAATTTCAAATTTTACAATGTGATTAGTCGTTATTTTCTTTGCGTGTAGCTCATCTGAAAAGTTGCATTCCAAAGGAAGAATCCTTTATTGTTTTACGGAAAGAAAACATCATTGGTAAGCTCAACGTCCAGTAATCCAGTAACCCTTTGATCCCAACCACTAATGGCCAGAAAAGGAGAATAAACTGAAAATTTTACATTCCCAGCAGTAAACTACATGCTTTAACTTGTTAGGTTCTATAGTTACCTCCAGTGAAAACTACTTTACCCTCCCATACATTACAAACTAACTTAAAAACTGATCAGTTAGGAGCGGATGTAAAACAAGTATCTAACTTCACAGTTTATGCTTTAACTCAATATAATTGTTAGCGAGGGTACATGCCAGCATGCGTGCGGACAAAAGATTCTTTAGGATTCAGCTCCGACCCCACTGACCTTCCTAAATAGCAAAAGCAGTTTAATGCTGGATAGCTCTGTATCATTTTGCATTGTTAAGTCGCACAGATTCATTCAGTTGTTGTAACACTTTGCTTTTTGACTATGGCGAGCTCAGCCAGCGGATCTTCCCGCCTTCTCGAGGGTTGTTGCTGAGTAACGTTTATGAGCGTGCTTCTATTTAGCGTTGGCTTTGTGCGTTTAGAATTGGAACTGAGAGCTCACAAGGAGAGGATCGTGACTCTGGAGCAAAATCAGCAGATCCTCACTAAGCCTGCAACGAATACTTCGCCTATAACCAAAGGTAAGCAAAACGTACATAAGAGGCGGATGAGATCCCCTTTGTGAAAGAAATGCTGTTTAAGGGAAGTCTATGATGCCAAGGCGTAGTATCAATCTCAAAAGCATTCCGCGATTCGCATCAATTTAGCTGGTGCCACTGACGCTAAAGCGGGTTTTCGGAGAAGAGGAAAGGACTGTACATGTTGCTTTATGTAATGTTTTAGGCAATGCTTCATGCCTATCTATTCTCCGCCACATTACCCTGGTCCTTCTTCATCGTTCTATTTTTGATATTTTAGCGATATTTTTGTCAAGATTTCCTGTCTTATTGACAAATATTTTATTGATGGTGTAATCCCTGACGGTGCCATCTCTAGATAAGTCAATTAAAAGCAGAGGCCTATTTCTATGGTCATATCCCTAGGGTGGGGTGAGAATACGATCGGTTTTACAACTGCCCCACTAGAGGAGGGTTCCTTCATTTACACTATAAATATCTGTCTTCTTACGAGATTATAAATGATTAGGATCACGAGAAGGCGAAAAGGCGTCTATGTCAGCGGGGAATTTACAGGGTAGTGTAAATTAAGTTCCGCTTCGTGTTGAAAAGCCCCGAGCTGTTAAAGGTTCAGAAGAACAGACAAGTTCTTTGAGCCCAGATATACCAAAACAAATCACCAAAGCTGTTCAAATTGCAACACGTAAATTTTGCACCAACAAAGGTCAGATTTGCGTTCAGGGCCCTCCAGGAACATCAGGACCACAGGGACCTCAAGGACCAGTTTGACCTCCTGGTTTAAAGGGACAAAAAGGTGATCCTGGAGAACCAACCCCATCGGTACCAACTTCTCTACAGCCATTTAAAGGGCAACAGGGGAGTATTATAAAAGCTCCTGAGATTGTGGTCAAGCCAGCCTTTGAGACCGTCATTTTGAACGAGACAGCTACATTTCAGTGCACAGCGGGAAAGCACGTTGACGCAAAGATCGCTTGGTCTAAAGAGGCTGGCTCTCTCCCTGTCAGAAGACATTCGATCATCCAAGGGACGCTGTACATCAAAAATGTGATCGTCAGTGACAATGGAATTTACGTATGTACGATTAGTACTGACCAAGGGACAGCTCAAGCTGCTGTCACACTCAATGTGAAAGGTAAGAGTAAGATCGGAACCTCTCTTTTAGAGACTGATAACAAGACAAATAACAACGCTTTTGCAATTCTATCAGCGTCGCAAAACTATATATAGCTCACCAACTATCTCCCAACCAGTCAAATAAAGAAGTGAATAAATGTAGTCGGAGTCAATGAAATTGCGGCTGAGCAAGTCACAAAACTATTTCGGTTTTTCTTCTGAAAGGTTGTAATTAAGTGGCGCAAGACTTTAGACAATCAACGTGTAACAATGGAAAATCAAACGAACTCTCTAGAATTGCCCTCGAAACTAATCTATTAAAAAACGCACCGCTCGAAAAGACCTCTTGATTAATTTCATACTTTAGCGTATCACTGAAGTTAAGGCCAGTATGGTTAACCAACCTTCTTCTCACCGTATGTTCCTTTCTATAAAAGCTCGTCCAGACATTTCTCTCTCCCCTGGGCCGATATACGCAGAGAGCGGTGGAGATGTGGTGCTTCCTAAATGCAGCATCATTGAATATCCCCCTCCTGTGGTATTTTGGACTAAACTTTTTGATGAACTTCCTGGGAAAAAAGCTACAGTCAAAGACCACACCTTGACTATAACAAAAGCAGACAGGAAGGATGCAGGGACATATATCTGTACCGCCACAAACGATATGGGCACATCGCACGCCATGACAACTTTAATCATTAATGTGGTACCGCAGTTTACTATCAAGCCACCAAAGAAGATAGAACGTTATCATGGACTGTCAGTTACACTGAACTGCTCCGCAGATGGAACACCAGTACCTACTATCACGTGGTCACGATGTAAAGGAAAAATGCCAGAGGAACGTACACAGGTGAAGGGTGGTCAGCTAAGGATAAACAGTTTGGCTGCGAAAGACAGTGGTGTTTACACCTGCTCAGCCAGGAGTGGCTTACTTCAGGTGGAGACTGAAGTGCAACTTATAGTTAAAACTGGTAAGTGGTGTTAAATCAGAAATGCTGAGAAGTACATGATGTTTAATCTCAGGTTAAGGCAAAAAAAGTGTCAATTGAAAAGAATTTTTTAATGCTCCATTGTTTGCTCATGGGAAAGACGTTTTGGCGTTCGGCTTTCATTCTGTTTACAAGGAGGGAGGGAAACCTTAGTTAGTGCTAATATTGCCATAGTCGGAAAGGTTACAGACAGTTGAGTGCATAACCGTATGAATTTTCTACACTTTCAATTGCTAGTGCAACTATTGGTTTAGAGTTTAAAGGAGCTGTGTCACGACGTTCAGCCAAATTAGGAAATTACAAAATGCCCGTTAAATTAAGAGAAACATAACCGCTTAAAACTTAGAAGGAAGGTTAAAATAACGTAACAGAAACAACAGATGCCACGGATGGGAAAAATTGAAGGAAGATTGAAACGGATTGAAATTAGGATTTTTGAAAACTGTTCAGCCTAACAGTTTTTCAAAGTTGATCCCTGCTGCTTGCCACTTTAAAAATAATGCTCAGGAGACATATTAGTTTGTCTCGTATCTCTGATTTTGTCACTTACATGTATTTTCTTTGCTTACGTTAAGTTTTATATCGAGTGAGGGCGAGTAATTCGCAAAATTAAATAAAATGAACTGGACTGCCGTGACACAGCCCCTTTAAAACACAATTCGCGCTCGTAAATTACACTTAAAGTTAATTAAATTGGCCCCGTATTTGCTAGCAAAATATTTTCAATTCGCCCGGTTTACTTTGCATTCTTTGTATTCATGATATGCACTGGGTTTAGTTCCATTTTATTTCGTACGTTGTGCATCAGTGTTAATTAAAAAGTTAGTTAATCTCTCTGTGTATTAAATCCACACTTGTTTAACTTTTTGCAGCCCGAGACTGTGCTGAACTGTTTTCTGTGGGCTTCAAAGAGAATGGCGTTTACACAGTGAACCCAATAAACAAAACCAGTTTTGAGGTGTTCTGTGACATGAAGACTGATGGGGGAGGATGGACAGTCTTTCACAAGCGCGTTGATGGCTTTGTTGGATTCTACAGGGGGTGGGAGGAGTACAAAAACGGCTTTGGTGACGTCAGAGGTGAGTTTTGGCTTGGAAACGAGAAGATTCATCAACTGACAGAGATTCCCAGTCAGCTGCGAGTGGAAATTAAGAAAAGCAACAATGAAATTAAGTACGCTAAATATAGTAATTTCACAGTCACTAATCAGGCCACCAACTATACGCTGTTTGTTCAGTTTTACTCTGGAACAGCAAAGGACAGACTCGCTTATCATAACGGTATGTCTTTCTCTACCACCGATCGCGATAATGACAAGGACAGTGGTAACTGTGCTAAAACTCGTGCAAGTGCCTGGTGGTACAAGGCTTGTGCTTATTCAGATCTTAACGCCCCGTATGGGCACAGTTATTATTATTGGTATTGAAGTAACCTTTTGGAGAGCGAAATGAAACTAAAACCTAAAAACTAATGATTTAAGGATTATTAGACAAAACCATTACATATAAGTTCTTAGAACTACAACACAAACCAGGCTAAATAAACATAAAATATCGTTGTGCTTTCCACTTATTTGCTTGATATGACCGCAGTCAACATATTTTGTACAAGGTACAGACTCTAGTGAGAGTATTTGTCGTGATTCTCGAACTTACAGCACGTGCATTCAAAAAGAACGACGGTAGAGTAAATAATATTACACATTTTCCCCTCAATCTTTGGAATTTGCTGCAGGCAGATTTCAATTCAGGCTTAGAGAGTGTTCTTCGCCCGCAGAGGTCAGCGGGGGATTCTTATTCCATATCTTTGTACCAGTTCTAGAGAGAAAGTAATTGTTGATTAACCCTAGAGTTTTTGTCACTGAAATGCGGCAGGAGATCTTAAGTGAAGTGGAATCTAAATACATGTAGATCATTTTTTAAGCATAGAAATAGTCAGTTCGAAAGGCCAGATAGAGCATGAAATATAATTTCATGTAGAAGAAGCCCAGTGGATTTAAATAAGAGCAATTTTTCATACTGGGCTTTCTTTTTTGCTAAAAACCGGGGGAGGTTTCTGAAGCCCCTCTAAATAACTTCAAAACCGCTCATGAAACGGCCACCAAAATTACACAGAATAATGTCCTCTATTTACAACATCCAGGCATAATTTGATAGACATACTGACGTCATTTGACGTCATCATGACGTCACATTTAAAAAATTTATTGGCACTGAATCCAAATTTCGTCAATCAGTTTTCCCCTCAAAGCGAAAAATACTGAAGGTGTCTGACAAAATCAAGAATATGGCAAGCACATTAATTAACGATTATTGAATGAGGCTGAGTAGGATCTGAAGAATTATTGAGAGATTACCCTCCGAGATCTCTATAATTCTTCAAATGTTACGAAAGCCGAATTCAATAATTGTTCTATGATTCATTCAAAATAATTCCTAGTTTAAAAACAAGCTAAAACATGCTAACCTCCATCGATACTAAGTTCATCTTCGATAGTGCATGTTTATCGGCAAGTTTAGGAGATGTAAGGTTGTTCAGGTGTGCAACTATTCTCTGAATAACAGATGTCATCTGTCGAGTTGTCTTCTTGCTGATCTTGTTATGTTTTTAGCCAATAGTTCGCCTATTTCTTACTCTTGAAACGAGTGAAATGTCCCGCCATTTTGTAGTCACAACCAAAACCACTCAACCCCGCCTCCATGTCTTCTCGATTAACGATACAACAACCTGGAAATTTTGCTGCACTTTTGACGCCATTTTTCGCATATCGCAAAATTCTTCCATATTTGGTGGACAATAACTGGATGTGATGAATTATACTTGGGATTTTAACCAATCCGAAACGGAGAAATATTTTGAATCAATAATAATAATCTTTAACAATAGCAATGATGTCGTGATGACGCCACTCATTGTAAAAGAAGGGTCCGGAACCATCCCACGTCATGGATCTGCCATTTTGAATTAATAAAATGAATTCAATTTTTACTTAAAACCAGTAAAAAAGTTAGTGAAATATTGCTAACTTAAGTGTAATGCTAAAATTCAATTAGTACAAAATAATCCAAAAAAAAAATCTTTTTATAGGGAAAAAGCAAAGTTTGTAAAACATGGCTGTCAAAACTCGGTGGCCATGGTAACGTCACGACGACTTTAAAATAATCCCAGATAATTTTTAGGAAAATTTTAGTGGTCATAGCTTGATCGGTTTTGAGGTCATTCAACTTTTTAGCGAAGGGGCGCCTCAAAAGCTTCCCCCCGCTATGAATAGTGTTAACCCTTACCGCCAGGATTTCGAGACTATTAAAACAAAAAGAGGAACGATGTGAGTTTTGTTATCGAGAAGTAGTGTGCTAAAGAAATGAGAGCCAAGGTCTTGCGAAAGCTAGCATCGAAATTTTACTGAACTCCCCGTACTTTTTTCGAGCGAGCAGAAATTTCGTGGAGATCTACAGAAACGAAATTTCGTTTTGCTGACATCACGGAATGTAACAAGAACACTAATAAATAATGGTAAAAGGACTGTGAGGAGTCTAACTTGGTCTGTAATCAAGTGATTAACAAAATCAGACGACTGCGTAGCGGGAGTCCGATTTGTTTAATCACGGGTATGATTACAGACCGAATTGGATGACACGAAGTTCCGCTACCAATTAACTGATAGCCAATCAGATTTGAGAATTTTGTTATAGTTATAATTAGTTTAATAAGCGCGCTTTCTTTTAGGATCGCTACCTTTGCGACGATTTCTAAGATCGCTGCAAAAATGTAGCTCGTCACAGCACTAGTTGAAAAAAATTGCTGACCCTTAAAAATATTGCCAATTATGTTTGTGTGTGTTTTCTTCTTTCTTTTTTTTTCGGTTTCAGTTCGCTTTGTTTTTTCCAAATCCATGCTTGACATTAGTATACAACAAAATGTATCGCGAGGCAGTTTGTTCCATGATAGACTAGAATTTTACCTCAATCCACGTTTTCATAAAATCGCTACAATCGCAAAGATGGACTGAAATATCGGTGATCGCAGTATGGAAAAAACTCCTTTACTATCTAGAAAAGTAAATGGTTAAAAAGTGGCGCGTGCTAATACCAACGCTTTTACAAAGCTATACGGTGGAAAGATATTAACTTACAGTATTATCTAGTATCTTTAAGTCGATTCAGTGGCCCGCTTTGCAGTGATAGCTGAGTAAAACAATAATTGGATTAAAAATTCACTATGTATCATTAAAAGTTTTAAGCGAATTTAGATTAATTTTGCATGCTCTTGGAAAATACTTAAGCCCCGTCCACATGCATCCAGATATTTTTCAATCCGCAACTTCTTGAATCCGCTCTCCAGAGTGGAAATTTTTGAATACGCTATGAATCCGGAATCGTTAGGATTCTGAAACCGGGTATTTTTTATCCAGTGACGTCACAAGATCGAGCCCAGTTCTTAACCGTGAATATTCAAGACGGTGCCGAGCGCAATGTTGTTGCTTTTTTATTTCTTGTACTTCAGTTTCAAGTCTTATAACGTGTGTTGAGTTAATCCTAGCTCATGATTACTGTACACCTCAATCATGCCAAACGGCATCTCGACATTTTGAAGCTTCTTTCCCTGTCGGACGGACGAATTGGACGCCGTATAAACAAGTTAAACGAGCGAAAAATTGGGACAATTTTGTTATTGAAACAACTATTGAAGAAGATTGGCGACAAAACGTTCGAATGATCCGAAGATCCCTTTACAAATTAGCTAACAAACTGAGACTGAATCCGGATACGTGTCGGATACTTGTGGAAGGGCAATTTCGAGTTGAATTATTATACGGATACGTGTGGACGTGGAAATTTTTGAATCAGCGAGGAAAAATTTGTGGATTCAAAACTATCCGGGGGCCTTAGAGTATACTTCAGTGTTTTGACTGTCATTTGAATATGTAATTATCAGTTTAAACGCATGACTACATCAACTTTGCCGATAATTTTATTGTGCTAAAAAAATTCAAAATAAAAAAATGCAAAAATTAAACATTTCTTCATTGACAACACATCCAAGATTTGGGATCTTTCTCTGTTTTTATAATGGCATCATCACATAATTTCTGTTAGGAGTAGTGTATACCATTGACATAGATTCAAAATAGGGATTGATCTGGGCTTTTAATACTGGGAGCGTACTGACAGGAGAGGCAAATGAGATGGCGGGAATAGGCAATCTACTTAAAGCGCCTAAAAACCTTGTCGCATTTAACATCACAGATTTTTCGCCCTGGAAATGTACTGATAATGCACTATATGCATAATTTAATAAAGGTTATATGAGGGTAAAGTTATAATCATCAGATTCTTACATCTGACGAGCGGCATACGCATAAACACAAGATTATCAAAACCCTGAGTTCTTCTTATGGTCATATATGATTGTGCTTATGCTTGCATTATGGTTACTCTTGTGCTTATGCTTATATTTATGCTTGTGCTTGTGTCAATAGTGAGGACCGGGCTTAACATTTCACGCATGAATTCCACCTGTCAAAATTTTGACCAGTCCAAGACTGGATTAGCCCTGAAGCGCGACAAAACGCGTGACTAAGCTAATAGTAAAGCCTGAAAAATATATTTTTGAGAGTTTTTGTCTTAGGTCAAACAATAATAAATGCAAGATTTTTACTGGAGCAACTCCATATTGGTTGCCTCTAAACTAGATAGCTTTTCGCAAAAACAAACGTAAGTGCATGTCTTGTCTCCGTTCTCATCCCTTGCAGAGTCTCCCCTCCCCCTCTGTACGGACGGACAGGTGGGCGTACGCTGAAGTCATAACCACATTTCTCGCATCGATAGGTTTCCAATATTTATAGCATTGGAGTGGCGGCTCTGCTGTTAAGTCTCTTTTAACTCTGTCGATCTTGTCTTGTTTACAAGCTTAAAACTGCATCGCGAGAGGTGCAACGGCTTTAAGCTAGTGTGGATGATGGAAAATAAATTTAACAATGCGAAAAGGCTGGTATAGACTGCTGGTATTGATGCCTTTGTGTTAACAAGGAAACCCATGGATAGTAGAGGGCGGTTGTCTTTTGTGTGTTTGCCTGTTTATAGAAATTTATTTCAAGATCAGCGGAGGAGGAAGGGGTCCTCATTCACCAAGGATGCTCCCCTTTCTTGTAATTCAGCACGCATCGGCAATTTCTCCCCCTCCAACTCCTCCTAGATTGATCTCCTTTTGGTGGCTTCCTTGCAATGCATGATGCGGCCCAATACAGAGCCAAGCCTCACTTTTTCCCTTTAGTATTTCTGTCTTTGTTTTGCTTTTCGTATTAATGAGAAGACCAAGAACTTTGACTTGTGGTCGCCATTTTGAACAACTTAAATCCATTACGAAAGCCTTATTATTCCCTTTGAAAGGGCGTTTCTTATAGTGGAGATAACGCAGGGAGCACAA